TGTCCCCATATCCTGTGGGACACAAGGACACCTCATTGTCCCTGTTCCCTGTGGGATTCCAGGACACCTCTGGCCCCAGGCAGCTCTTGAGGGAGGTTTAGGTGACCCTGTCCTTGTCCAGACAGTTCCAGGACCTGGAAACCGTGTCCTGAACTGGGTCATCCCACTCTTACCTAACTGCTCCTTCCATTATTTCCTGAATTTACAGCAATTCCATAAAAGAGAGGAACTTGGACAACGTGGGAGAGGGACTGACATCATTAAATATTCTATTTACAGCCCATTTCCTGGGAAATATTTCAAGCCTTTGCCACCAACCGGGAGCATGAAAATTTCAGAGATGAAAGGCCGTGACTTTGGGCAAAGGAATGGGAACGTTTAACTCTGTGGGGTGGCTGGAAGGGCCACCCACTGGTGGTGGGAGGGGGTTTGGAGCGAGGAGGGCGGGGGGCTCCAGGGGCCCTGCTGCTCCTGGGGGGTCGGCAGTGCCATGGGAAGCACAGGGATCACAGGGAAGCAGCGGTGGAGGCAGGAGGGGGGTTGAAGAGAAGCGGAGGATGGCGAAGGGATGCTCCTGGAAATTGGGGTCCCTGCTGGGGGGGGATCAGCAGGTCACACAGACACAGATGGGGAGGCCAGGGAAGGGATGGGGACAGGGATAGGGACAGGGAGGGGGGGCTGTGTTCCCGCCTGGAGTCACTGGGAGACAGAGGACTCGCAGCCAGACACCAGAGCCAGTGAGAGGGGTCAGGGGGGCCCAAAACAGCCCCCCAGAGGTGCCAGCACCACGGGAGGGACCACCAGAGGCCGTGGTGGTTTGGTTGGAAGAGCCTTTTGGAAGAGCCTTCCCAAGGGAAGCCTTCTCCCAGAGGGCTCCCCTGGCAGGGGTGCACTGCTGGAGCTGCTGTTAAAACCAGAGAGCTCCCACGTTTTCCAGCGCCACTGGAGGTGGGCACAGCTGGCACTGAGCTGTGGGGGGCCTGATTCCAGAGGGTCCCCAAATGCATCCGGCACAGGACCTGAGCAGGGCAGGGAGAGGGACCCCGGGTGGGACACGAATGGCTGTCACCTGAGCAAGGGGCACAGGTACCCGCCAGGTGAGTGAGACCCCCAGATCCAGTTCCAGCAGCCCCAGTTTGGTGCCCCCGAGGTGGTGCCACCAGGATGGCACTGCCGAGGGCACCGCAGGGAGATGGAGGCTGGAACGACCCCACAGCTCCCCTGGGACACAAGGGGACACTTTGTCCCTCACACCACAGCCTGGATGTCACCTACTGTGCCAGCACCACGTGGAGGTTTGGTGGGAAAAGCCTTTCCAAGGGAAGGGCTGCCCTTCACCCGGAGCTCCCTGCACCAAACCGGGCCCCTGGCACCCACTGGGTGACACCGGTGACACTGCTCAAGGTGGCTCTGTGCTGTTGTGGGGCTGCACCTCAAAGGGCAGTGTGACACTGGACATTCTGGGTCACCTCCTGCTGCAACTTCACATTTCGAAGCTTTCTCGGGGTTTGTGCCCAAATCTCGGACTCCAGTTTAGAGGTTTTTGGACTAGTTTGTTTTCAGGGCCGGGTGGGTGAGGCAGGAACGGGGCTCAGTGGGCACAGGTCAGGCTGTGTCCTGTGTGGGGGATGTCACAGATCACCCTCCTGACCCTCCCACCCGTCAGGGAC